GCGGCCCCTGAGGGTGGCGCATCAGTGATGATGTGCGCAGCACAGGCCTTGCCACTGTTTGACAGCAAACTCTGCTTCTAACCGGTGGAAAGCGTATTTAAATGCTTGCTTGTTGATTGGACGAGCCTAAACGCTCATAAATCGCGCGTTTAGCTGATTTTCCCTGTTGTCACCCGTCACCCGAGCGCGGCGCGCTGCGCGCGCGCCCCGTTTGTATTTAAGCCCCCCCGCCCAAGGGCAGAGGGCGGTCATTTCTTTCCTGACGGCCACAGTGCGGTTGCCGGCATGCTTCCGTAACTGCTGTAACAATATCACATGCCTTTGCCCTAGAATACATTTAGGAGGCGTCCGCCCCCGCCAGACCAGCCCCGGCACTTGACGTCGGTAAAGCAACCCAAAAGCCACCCTCGTCACCGTCCTGGGCAGCTACAGACCCCCAAAGGCCTCAGGTAACGGGCGCACAGGGCTCGGCACAGTCACACTTTGGGTTGTCACGCGCCAGCGGGCGCGGTACCCGAAAACTAGCGACACATGGACCTCTAAGCCCCGATCAAGATAACAGAAGAGTTTAAGTCCTGTTAAAGCGGGTATATGTGGCTGCAGGCGGCACACAGCGAGCTGGGCTAGGGACCTAAGGCCGAAATGACTCAGGGCACGAGCAGGCGTCCATGGAGATGACGCCCAGCAATGTGCACATTCAAGGTGTACATGGATGTCCCACTGCCATCAATCACATAAGCTTTCTGAAACAGATTGCAATACTGTCACAACAAGGCAAGTATCATGTGTATCATTCAGCGCAACCGCTGGAGCCACGGCGGGAAGTCCTATGCTGACCAAGCGCCGCATGCAATGTGACGTCAGCGCCCAGCATCTGGGTCATCTGCGATGCTGCAGCAATCAAGCAAAGAATCAACCACAGCCTATAGAGAGAAGATATGCTGCCGGTTATCTGGAGACTGCAGACCGGCAACCAATTTACTTTTCGCTGCCGCCGCCGCCCACAGTTCCAACGTCCAACTGGACGTTGGACTGGGGCGTCGGCCATCCTTACCAAGCACGCAGCTGGACACCGGACATGCACTTGCGCTTGCAATCAATAATCCCTGTAAAATCTATCACAGATGCTGCACCATACTACCAGAGTGGACGGCTCGCGAATTGCTGTGTGGGCTCGGCCTCACAGGGTGCACATTATTGCCAGGAATGGAGCGACCGATGACAAGGCAGCTGACTAGCCTGATGCGCTAGTTGACCCTGTCCTGACGCCGTGTCACAAACATCGTTGGTCAAGCCCATTGTTGAGCCCTATCTGTTGCCATGTGCCTTTGCGAATTCCATTACGAACCCGCGCATGGGCTCATACTGCTGAGCGATTGCATGCACATTGCACAATGACCCTGCGCATGTCAGATGCCTGCAGTCCCAGTGACACGACGATTTTCACTATGAGGATTCCTGCTTGGACACCTTTACCATGGTACTTGCGATGCGTGCCGCTTGCCACCTGCTGGCACCCTGTGCCAGTCCTGCACAATGGGCGCTGGTTGGCAGCGGAAGCCGGGCCAGCTAGGGCCGTTGCAGTCTCCGCTTTGCAGGCGGGCAGCTGCACACTGCGCACAAACAACAGCCAGGCAATCGCATCTGTGGCGCACTCATCAGGTAGATGGGTGGCCAGGCGGAGTGCCCTTGTGTTCGACAGCGGCCTGTGTCATTGTGCCCAACCAAGCACTCGCTTGTATCACTGCACTAGTGCACAACGCGTGGCCAGGAAGTGCAGGGAGTGAAATTGGTGTCATGTGCACACGGTTTCTGCCGGTGCCTCGCATTTACTGCTTATCAACCGTTTTTGCTCATGTGCCACGCTTGGGGTCCGACCATTCGCTACCTTCCAGTGTCTGGTGCAACTGCATCTGTCAATGCTGATTTGCCTGCGCACCACACAATGGACGTGCTGATGCCTGCAGCACAGAGTGGCGCTTGAAACTGAGAGTAACATACTCCATGCTGCCACAATCAGCTCGTGAAATATCTTCCTTCAACACCTTCACTGCTGTTCCCCCGCCTCTGCCCGAATGCCTGCCGTTTGCAGCCGGGCCTGGTGGCCCCTGAATGCCGCCTGCACCTTGACAGCAGCCTCGTCCTGCCCCTCTGCTCCAGAAGACTGGCCAGGGCCAAGCGCGCCGCTGGTGCCGTCTGCCGACCGGACGGCGCCGATCATCTGCGGCAGGCCTGCGGCCGCTGCGCGCCTGCGTTTGACCAGAGTTGTGAGCTTCCATGAGCTCACCGAGGGCAGCACATCACCCATCCTGCATGCACGCAGTCACACTCGTCCAATCGCGGCAGGATGCAGTCGAATTGCAGTGCAGGAGACTCCCCCATCATTACTCACATCACCATCGCCGCCTGCTTCTGCCGTGCATTTGCTGCCGCCTCTGCGGCCGCCTCCGCTGCGCCGTCTGGCAGCGTGAGGCGCGGCTTGTTGGGGTTGTTCTCCAGCATCCAGCGCGCCATGAACATCAAGGCCTCGGCCTGGTTTAGGTTGTCAAGTTGTACGGCATCAGCTGAGAATGCACATGACCTATTGTATGCGTGCATCAAGGCGCTGCGTTGCCCAAGCAGCATGGTGCACGCACGAAGGCTGATACCCCCCTGCCAACGCATGCAGCTCGTTCTGGTGGTGCATGCAGCGTGTCCATTGTGCCCGCCTTGTCAGACGAGGGCTTGGCCTTAGCCAGGGCGGTGAGCGCCCCGACCAGAGTCGGCTGCAGCCTCTCAGCCACATAGGCCTTGGCTGCCTCCGCCTCCGCCTCGGCGTCGGCGCCGCTGCCCGGGGGCGCCTGCAGCCGCGGGAAGAAGAACCGCGCCTCGCGGGCGGCGGAGGTGGCCGAGTCCGAGCCGTGCAGCGCGTTGCGCGTGCCGTCGGTGCCGTAGAGAGCACGCAGGCTGAGGGAGGGGGACGTGAGGGCGAGTGAGATGGCAAGCAGGGACCAGAAACATCAAGGGCGGCTGCGTTCCAACAAGGGGAATCGGCACAGCAAGGACACACCCATGGACTTGAGACAGTCGCAGAATTTGTGACAACCCACTGCGCCCTGCAAAGCCCGCAGTGACGTGGTGGGGAAGCTCGTCGCGCGCTGCACACCTCTTTGGCGCCTTGGCGCGCGCGTCGAGCGAGTTGGTGGGCCCGATCAGCGCGCGCCACGCGGCCACCGCGCCCGGCCGCGCCAGCACCGCGGCGACAATCGGCCCCGAAGTCATGAATTTGACTAGGCCGGGAAAGAATGGCCTGTCCTTGTGCTCGGCGTAGAACGCCTCTGCACGGGCTACGGTGAGCTACGCATGCATGCATGCGCATGGGGTGTGCATGGCCACAGTGAGGATTGTGGGGACATGCATCAAATGGCAGGTGTGGAGCCACTCAAGGCCAACTTCTCTCAGTGTAGCTGTATGTGCAGACACCAGACGCATGCCAAGACGGAACCGCAAGGTATCGTTGGGCTTGCAAGCTGCACACCCGGACAAGCCAGCACCATATCGGGGTGCTGTCGACACAGCTGCGCATTGCTCCTCCCCAACCTTCCAACGCCAACCTGCAGGCGCTGCTGCTGTATGACGGTGAAGCCAGCTAGCTCCGCGAGATGCAAGATTTCCTCCGCCTTGCCGGCCGCCACTGCATCGGGTTTTACGATTGCCAGTGTGCGCGACAGCGGCAGCACTGGCGCTGCATCCTGCGCCGCCGTGTCTGTCATGGCTGTTGCCACCCTGACCGTATGAATATAATTGCTCAAAGTTTTGTTGCTCTCATACGCTGAACAGCGCAAAGTTTGACTCGCGTCCCGCCAAGTCGACGGAGTACGGCAATTTACTTTGCTGCGTGCAGCTGATCCTCCACGTGGGTGAAAGTTGCATATCAGAATTGAAAACCACTGAAAGTCTTGTTTACCCACTCCCGGTTCTGTATAATAAGGGCGGCTTACTTCATAAGGGTGTTGGCGCAGTCGCCGCGCCAGCAGCGCCCATGCCCCCTCAAGCAGTCCCACGAGAGGCCCCTCTCTGCCAAGCTCATGCTGTGCTGCGGAAAGCATTTCAACAGAGGACAGAGGTTTACACCCAATTTGGGGCAAATGTACATGCACTCCGTGCACGAGCCTGGCGCGCGCCCTGCTGGTCAAATCATTCGCACTCGGCGCCGCCCAATGTGGCATCTTGCAGCCACAGCCGCAGCCGCCGCAGCACGCCCAGCGAGCAGCCCGCACGCACTGCCCTCATCAGCTGTACAGGGAGCTGCACAAAGGACTGCAGCCCCACAGGGAGCTCGGATGCGCCGCCCCCACTGCCAACACCTGCATCCCCGCTGCCGCCACCACTCCTGCCACCAGTGCCCCGATCGAAGCGCCAGACCGCGCTCTCCACGCACTCGCTTTTCAGCCAGGCGTGCAGCGCCGCACCGCACAGCAGCAGCACGCCCTCGCGCAGGCGGCCCCTGGTCGCATCCTGTGCGGGGTCGCCAGTCTGTTCGCCGCCAGAGCCAGGGGTTGCCGGCAGCGGTTGCAATACCGCAGACAGCAGCTGCAGCAAGCAGCCCTCCAGCTGCGCGAGCGCCGCTCGCCCCGCCGCCACCCTGTCCACGCAGCGCTGCGCCACCGCGCCGCACACAACGGCAGCGTCCACGTTGGTGCTGCCGCTTGCGCCCGCGAGCGGGGCCTGAGGTGGTGGCAGCAGCTGCGCCAGGGTGGCGAGTGCATCCTGCAAGTCACCAGGGGCCAGGTCTGCTGGGGTCAGCAGCGCCTCGGCGAGCGACTCAATTGGGTCGATGCAGGAGCTTGCGCTTGGACGTGGCGACTGCGTCGCGCCCCTGCAAGTGCTGGCGCTGCTGCTGTGGCAGCAGTCACCACTAGGGTGGACGGCAGCCGCCTCGCAATCACAGGGCAGCTGGCTGTTTGCCTGCAAGCCCGTGCCCTCATCTGGGATTGCGGTCGTAGGAAGCGCTGGTGCCATCCCTGCGCCTCGCCCGTGCTCTTCGGTTGCTGCTGGCAGCGCTCGCGGCTCCGCCTGAGGCTGGTGCTGCACCGCGCCCTCTGTGGTTGCGGCTGCCGCGGCTTCTGCAGCCCAGGGCTCTGACGCAGCACCGCCGGTGGCTGCCGCAGCCGCCTTCCCCAGCGTTGCTGCCTCAACCCGCATTGGCGTTATCCGCCGCCGCAAGGGCGCCAGGTTCGTAGCTCCGCCGCCGCCAGCACCGCTCTCGCCATTGCTTCCAGGCTCGGATGCCCGGCAGTCGGCTGGTGCCGCTGATGATGATGCAGCTGATGGTGCTGATGGTGGTGGTGGTGGTGCTGCTGCTGCTGCTGCTGCTGCTGCTGCTGCTGCTGCTGCTGCTGCTGCTGCTGCTGCTGCTGCAGCGGGTTGTTGCAGTGGTGGTGGCAGAAGTGCGGACGCCGCTGGTGCTGGTCTAAGAGCAGCTGCCGTAGGGGCAGCCGAGGGCCCGTCGAGCAGCGGGCGGTCCAGCGGCGAAGCAGCGTGCTGTGGCTGGCCTTGGCTAGTGATGACAGCCAATGGGCGGACGCTTTCGCTCCTGGAGCCGACCTCCACCGCTGGGCGATCCGCGCCAGTCCTGGCCCCGCCCCTGCCGCTTCCAGCTCCGCTCGCCTGCAGCCCACCGCCGCCGCCCCCAGAGGGCGCCCCGGCCGTCAGGCGCGCGTGCACCGCCAGCTGGCGCCCGATGGCCTTGACCAGCTGGTCTGCCTGCTGCGCCAGCTGCGCGTGCACCAGCGCCGGCACCTGCTGCAGCAGCCGCTGCGCGCAGTTGGCCAGGCAGCCCTCTTCCGCCAACGTCGCCGCGGCTGCCGCCGCGGCCTGCGGTACGTCGGCGGGCAGGAGGGCGCGCACCGCCGGCGCCGCGCTGGCGCGCGCATGGCGCGAGGCGGCGGCCATGGCGGCCTCCAGCGCGGCATGAGTGGCGCCGGGGGCGCGGGCGGTACAGAGGGCGTGCACGGCACGCGCAATGCCCTGCGGTCGCAACAGGCAGAAAAGGTGGGCGGTGAGCCTATGTGAGATGACGTCCCAAACCCTGTTTCACCTGCTTGCTGTCAACGGTGCTGCAGAACATGCGGGCAGTGGCACGGTGCTGGGCATTGCTGCAGGCAGCTCGAGGAAAGCACAGCCATGTGCTCTCTAGGACAAGCTGCCGAGCTCCAGCAAACTTGACCATTGTAAATGCTAATGCGTGACACCAGCTGGCACCAAGGCAGCTGCCAGGTTGGTGGCATCAATGTACCAGTTCCTCATCCCAACCACAGTCTGGCACAAGCTTGCGATGTGACCGCACCCTGACTGCGTCCCGCCCACCTGCATGCTGTGTGCTGCATCATCGCACTCATGGGTTCCGCCAGCCCTGTCGCCGTCGGGCGCGGGCAGGAGCTGCTGCCTGGCTTCCGCCGCCACAGCCTGCATGTGCTTCTGCAGCACGGCGGGCATGGCACCCTGCAGGCTGGTCTGGAGGGAGGTTTGAGACAGCACTGCCGTGACGGACGCCACCACATCAGACATTTTGACCTGCACATTATTTGGGGTTGGACAAGTTTCAGATTGACGAGGCAGAATAAGATCTTCTGTATTGCATCAAACGGATGCCATGGACCAGCATAAGCTGTGTTTGCAGCTGGTCGCAGCCCGCCGCTATAAGGGGGAAGAGCCAGGCACAGCTCAAAGCACTGCCTGGCCCGCAGCCAGATGCTTGCTCAAAGTCCAAAGGGTTCTCACGGGCTGCTCATCAGGGCTGTATTGCTGCAGAAGAGCCACCCTCAGCTGCTGCCTGATAGGGTTGGTCACGCGCTGCAGCGCCTCCCTCAACAAAGGCGGTGCTTCTGCTGGCTGCTGCTGTGCGCGCGGCGCGGCGAGCATCGGCACGGCCAGCAGCCGCCGCCGCGCCGCGGCTGCCGTTCCCGCCGTGCCTGCAGTGCCAGCTGTCGCTGTTGATGCCCCGCTCACGCTGCTACCCGGGCTGGACGCTCCGCTCTTGACGCCGCTAGCGCCATCGCCGCCTTGCTGCTGCTCGCGCCGCGTCTGCTGCTGCTGCTGCTGCGACGAGCCTGCCTGGCGAGCCTGCCCAACACGGCGGTCACCCGGCAGCAGCTGCAGCTGCTGGGACAGCGCCTGCTGCTGCCGCTGCTGCATGAGCGAAAGCAGCCGCGAGAGCCGGCCCCTGGCGGGGCAGACAAGGCTCCAATACAAAGTATCCACCAGCGCCGAGCCGCCCGCCAGGGTGTCACCCAGGTCTGCAGGTCCGCCAATCGGCGCCTGCACATGCACCCAGCCGTTCGCAGACACAGGCGCCGGTGACGCGCATAGCGTCGCGCCGGCCGCGGGCGGGCGTGGCGGCGGTGGGGACGCCGGGGCTGTGCTGGCGGGCGCATCGCGCCACCTGGAAGTAGCGGTGCTGTGGGGTCCAGCGGAGGAAGGGGTATGTTGTGCGCCATGTCCTCCGCTGGGCGCTTTTGCTGGCCACATGGTGCTGCCGCACGCGCTACTCAGAGATACAGAGGTGGCCGAGGCGGGCGGCGCCGCGCTGGCCGGCGTTATCGGACTCGCGGCGGCTGCGCTGCCGACAGGGCCCCAGGCCCGCTGTTGTCCCTGCGGTAGGCTGCTGCCGACGCTGCCCTCACAAGACTGCTGCTGCTGCTGCTGCTGTTGCTGGTGCGGGTAGCAGGGTGGCGGCGGCCGGGCGGGACGCTGCCGCTGGTGTAGAAGGAATGGGATTGGTGTGACAGGGGGGCCTTGCGCTGGACCTGGGCTCCTAAACCCTTCCTGCTGCTGCCGCTGCTGCTGATGCCGGCTGACATTGCTGCTGCTCTGTGGACTCTGTGGCTGCTGTGTCGCGGTCACATTGATATGTTGCTGCTGCTGGCTGTAACGCTGCTTGCTGTTCTGTTGCTGCTGCTGTTTGCTAAGCTGACTCTGCTGCTGCTTCTGGCCATACTGCACATGCTCCCCACGCTCATGATTGCTCTCCTGCGGCAGTGGCTGCTGCTGCTGCGCCGGCTGCTGCAAGGGGCCGCCTTGGGCTGCAGACTGTGCATCTGTGCCAGATGCTGCGCGTGACACAGCGCTCATGGCGGACGGCGCGGTCGGCACCGCAGCGACAGCAGCGACGAGTGGTGGGACCGCCACACCAGCCGCCTCCAGGTCACCAAAAAAGCCCTCCAGGCAGGACTGCAGGCAGAGCGCCAGCTGCCCAAACCCCGCGCCCTGAGGCCGCAGCGCCGGCGCCGCCTGCAGGCGTCGCAACCACACAAGCGCGGCAACGACCGACGGCGCCGACGCTAGCACGGCGCGGCTGCCTGGGCGCGAGAGCGCCCCCAGGCAGCTGCAAGCAAAGGGGACCGCCAGGGCGAGGGCCCATGCGCTGCCCGCGGCGGCCTCCAGCAGCGGCAGCAGGTCGATCGGCGGCAGCGGCGGCAGCAGCGCCGCCCCCGTCGCTAGCGTGCCGCCGCCGTCCCGGCTCTGGTTGCCGTCACCTCCCTGGTTGCCGTCCGCCTCCAAACGCAGCGCGCCCCCGCCGAACGCGAGCATGCCCATGTAACGGCCGAGCGTGACCACCCCTTTGCAGTGCTGCCCAAGCGCGTCCCCTGCCAGCGGCCGCCCCGCCGGCGGCGCCATCAGCTGCGTGATGCGCGCCGCCATCACGCGCAGCAGCGCCGCGTTGAGGCGCGCGCTGTCCGCGGCCTCCAGCAGGCACACATGTGCGTGCTGCGCAGCAGGGAAGCAACGCAGCAGCGCCGCGCAGCTGCTGGCACGCGCGAAGCTGGGCGCGAGGCCGGGGCCGCTGCGCGGTGCCTTGGCGCCGCTGGCTGCGGCGTGCGGTTGCTGCTGCTGCTGCTGCTGCTGCTGTTGCTGCGCCTCCAAGCCCACACGATCCGGCGCCACACGTGGCTGCCCAGCCGCGCCGAGGCCCCTGGCCGCACCGACCCACGCCGCCTGCACCCGCCCCGCCGCGGCAGCGGGCCCCCGCTCCCCAGCCGCGCCGCCGCCGCCGCCGCCGCCGCCGCCGCTGCCCGCGCCGTCGCCGCCGCGTCCCAGCCGCCGCTGCAGCTTCTGGAAGCGCCCCGGGTCCTTCTCCGCCAGCACCACCAGCCGCGGCTCCACCAGCGCCTCCCCTGTCGCCGCCGCCTGCAGCGCGCACGCGGTGAACAACTCGCACAGGTGCTCCAGGCTCTCTGGCGCCAGCGCGGCCAGCAGGCGCGACATGGAGTCTGACGCGGCCATGAGCGCCTCCTCCAGCGCGGCGGCGGCGCCCGGCCCCGCCTGCCGGCTCTCCGGCTGCCGCTGCTGCTCCTGCCCCCGCCCCTGCTCCTGCTCTTGCTCCTGCTCCTGCTGCTGCTGCTGCCGCCACGCCGCGAGCCGCGTCGAGACGTCGCGCAGGGCGCCGAAAAACGCGTCGCGGCCCCTCTCCCTGTTTGCGATCAGCGCGGGGTCGGCGGCCGCGCCCGCGCACGCGCCGTTGCCGCCCCTGCGCGCGCCCGTCGGCTTGAGCAGCCCCACCGTCTGCACGGCAGGCTGCACCAGCGCCCGCGCGGCGCCGCCGCCGCCCTCGCCGCCGCCGGCCCCGCCAAACCCTGGGGACGGGCGGGCCGTCGGCGTGGCTGCGGTGATGGCAAGCCTGCGCCGCGCAGTCGGGCCGTGGCCAGATAGCGCGCCTGCAACCGATTGCTTTGCTGGAGAGTAGATTGGTGCAAGCGTGCTGCCGTGTCCCTGCGAGTTCCCTTGCGACCGCCCCAGCTGCTGCTGCTGGTGCTGTTGCTGCTGCTGCTGTTGCAAAGGACCACCGTTGCCCGCACAGCGCCCTGCGCCTGCTTGATGCAGTCCGCGCCCCTGCTCCTGCGCCGACTGCCCAATGACGGCGCCACCTCCGCCCCCGCCGCCGCCCGGCGCGTCCGCCGCGCCAACTGGGCCCGCCGCCGCCGCGCGGGACAGCGCCTGCGCAAGCTGCGGGGCGAGCGCCGCCACCTGGGCGCTGCCCGCCAGCTGCTGCGCGAGATGCGGATCCAGGCCAGCCAGCAGGCGCCCGCAGCATTCCAGGGCCTTTGCTGCGTACCGCGACACGGCGCAGCTGCACTGGAGCAAATCCAGGTCCCCCGCACCCTCCACTGGGGTCGCAGTGGCGCGGCCCTCGGATGCCGCGCCGCTTGCAGGAGCTCCCAGGGTCTGCGCCCTGGCCGCATCCGGCGCCGGCTGCTGCTGCTGCTGCTGCTGCTGCTGCTGCTGCTGCTGCTGCTGCTTTCGCTTGCCCACGCTGCTGCTCGCCGGCGCTGCCGGCGGGGGCGGCGCCTGGGCCAGCATGCTCAGCAGCAGGCACACCTCGTCCAGGGGGCAGGGCAGCAGCCCATTCACCAGCAAGTGACCATGGAGCTTGGCCAGCCGCGCCGCGCGCGGCCTGAGCTCGCACGGCGTCCCGCTGCCCGCGGCCGCGCGCTCGCATGCGCCCCACCGCGCCTCGTCAAGGCAGTGGCTGTGCGCGAGCGCGAGCGCGCGGGCGCGGAACGCGGCGGGACCGGCGGACGCGGCGGGCGCGGCGGGCGCGGCGAGGGCTAAGTGCGGCTGCAGCTGCGGCTTGTGGGCGGCCCACTCGCTGAGGGAGCAGGCGGCGCCCTGCTGCGAGGTGATCCATGGGACCAGCGCCGAATACACGGCGGCGTCTCCTATGGCAGCGGCGAGCAGCGCGTCGATCCCTGCGGCAAGCTGCGCCGGTGGCAGGGTGTTGCCGTCGCGCTGCATGGTGGTTTCACGCTCTATGGCGGGATCCATGCTGCAGCAAATAGTTGGTTCACATTAGAACAGCTCGTTTTGGCGGCAAGATCACAATGTGATCTTCAAACATGCAACAATCCAAGTGACACGCCAGAAATCTGCAGTGCACATTGCCGCACTCCAGCTACCGGTGATTTGTATGAATTCACCGCATTGTAATGATGGAATCAGGCGCCCCGTGCTACCGGGATCACACTGCACTCTCGCAAGGCACGATCGAGCATGCGTAGCAACACTCAACCAGTAATGTAGGATGCATTACAACCATTTATGCGTTAATAAGCGCCTGTGTGCATATGGGTGGCGATGTGTCGGCTAGTGGTTGACTCTGACAGTTCCGCTACCTCAAGCTGCTGCTGGCTGTGCTGTCGTTTCCCTTCAATCTATTGTGTGTGCGCATTGTATTGTGAGCTAACTGGTACATAGATTATAGCAAAATAGCGGTTGTATGCAACGCTGCCACAGTCTCATACCATGCCACGCATGGGGAGCTTATGCGGAAATGCCAACATGTATGTGGCCGCTACGCGCGTGGGGGCCCGCGTCGGGGCATTAGAGTTCGTAAACAGCGGCGCAGCATGAAAGAGGCTGTGGACTAGGGATGTTGGCGATTGCTGTTCATGCGTGCGGCGAGCAACAGGCACGCAGAGGTTTTGGCAGAACATTCGAAGCCCACCACCGGTATAATTGTTGGGGGTCGTGTGTATTTCGCTACCTGGAGGCAGGGCACGTGTGTGTGAGTGCATGCAGCGGCCAGAGCGGCATAACAATGGCGCAGCAGCACAAGTTGGCAAAGCAACGCAGACGCCCATGCGCAGTGGGCGTGTGGGGCGAACAGCCGCATGTCAAAATGCAGTGGTGCCAAGCTGGAGCAGTCAACTTTATGTGGCCACTTTTGCCCCTGATATTCGATAGGCTCCATCCCTGGGCTCCCCCGCTACCTATTTTTTCCAGTCAGCCGTGCCGTAAAAGCAGGCAAATGAATCATGGATTGACAACGCCACCCAGTACAATCCCATACCAGACATCTTCCGGAACCTGGTTCGCGCTACAACCATGCTTACACACACATAATTCATGGTCATAGGGGCTTCAAGCTGTCCCCCTGGCCCGCGTCGCTCTCTGGAATGAGATGCGGCCAGCCGCACATGACGCCGCCGCCAACTCCGGCCAGTGCCGTTGATGCTGGTGAGGTGGGATGATGAACACCTGCGTCACCGCATGGGCAACCAAGGTTGCATCGTCTCCGTTGTCATATATAAGCGATAAACTCAAGCGCAAATGTTTACACGCGAAACAAAGCAAAGCCGCAGTAGCACCCCCTCAATCGAACAGTCTCACTCGACAGAATGCCCAAAGCCGTCCAGATATACGAGATCGGAGGCACCGAGGTGCTGAAACTGGAGGAGGTCGACCTGCCGAAGAAGGGAGCGAGCGAGGTGCTCATCAAGACACGCAGCATCGGCGTGGTAGGTCGGGCATGTGCGCTGCTCAGGATGACTCAGAGCACATTCTCGCAACCAAGCCGCCTTGATGCTGCAGAACTGTGTGCAAGGCGCTGTTGAGTCACTATTGAAATGTGCATTGCAAGCTCACCTGCTGCCCTCCACGTGGTTTGAGGCTGGCCGCCCCAAGCCACGCGCACCGCATGCACACCGCTGCGCTGGGCAACCCAGACAAGCGCATGTTGCAGCCTTCATGGACGGCTGTTGCACGGCCTTGGTGCAGCACACATGGTGCTCAAACTTGCCTGACGCTCCAACTCTCAAGTATCATGTCTGCCAAGTGCCCAGCAAGCTCTGATTGCCTTGCTTTCCATCACCATTGGGCCGCTCATCCTCGTCCCTCCCCACCCTGCGCAGAACCCCGTGGACATTCGTGTCCGCACCGGCCACTACAAGCCTCCGTCCTTCCCTAAGGCGCGCATCTCGACATGAGATGATGCGTGCCAGCGGCCGCGCCGCGCATCCTGCTGTCCAGATGCTGCCCGCATCACGCCGCCCAGATGTCGCTGAGCCCCTCCACATACGAGCCCCGCAACTAATAGGCGGCCTGCCCTCCCCCCTTCTCCAAAAGCAGATCCTGGGCGGCGATGTGGCGGGAGTTGTGGAGGAGGGCGATGAGGCCGGCAAGGTGCGTGCTTTCATGCCTTTCCCTCCCCGAGCCTTGCCATGGTATTTTGGGCACACATGACTCATTACCAAGTTGGAGCATGATTCATCACCAAAGGCACGATACGATTCATCACTAAATTGCTGATATCAGCACTTGGCTTCCTCCCGCCTGCATCGTCACACATAGCTCTGTCAACGCTCTTGTTTGTTGCCCTCTATTTGGGGCTAACGACTCTGGCACCTCCAGCATGACTCACCTCCCCCCTTGAAACACCCACTGCTCTCTTCAGTTCAAGCCGGGTGACAAGGTGTTTGCGTTGACCCCAGGGTACTACAACTCCACAGCTGCCGGTGGGTTATGCACGTTCAAATAGTGGTAGTACTGGTGGTGACGCCGCTGCTGTCTGTCCAGGCGCCCCTTGTTGATGCTGCATGTGATCGCTCTCAGCTCAAGCTCAGCAGTCAATGGAGACAGGGATGCACCAGCCGCGCCCACACACGCGCGCGCGCACACACACACACACACACGCGCGCGCACGCGCACGCACGCACGCACGGACGCATGCACGCATGCACCCACACGCCTGTGCATGCCCACACAAGCGCTCTACATCTTGTTCGCTGCATCACTTATCGTTGGACCGTACGCTCCATCATATGTTGAATTACACAGGCACATATGCTGAGTATGTGGTGGCTGACCCCGCCTGGCTGGCCAAGGTGCCCGACAACCTGCCCCTGGAGGAGGCGGCGGGCCTGCCCCTCGCCGCACTGACCGGCTGGCAGGCGCTGCAGAAGGCCAACCCCAAGGCGGGGCAGCGCGTGCTGGTGACGGCGGCATCCGGCGGCGTGGGGCACATCGTGGTGCAGGTGGGTGCGTGGGGTGCGTGTCGGTTGGTGGCGTGCGTGCAATGCAGCTGACGCCCGGGCATCAGCTTTTTGGGGGCCCCAAAAGACAAACCCATTGAATGCAAATCAAAGCCGACCTGACGCACTTGGTTCTTGCTTGCGTGCATGATCACACCCGCAAGCCTTCCACAATCAAAATGCCCTGCGGCACTTGAGTAGTCTGCTATAGTTGCTGAGTGACACCACAGTAATTTCCCTGCATGTGGTATCATGACATAGAAATGTAAATGCCAATTCACCCCCCAAATCACCCACCTTGCATCCCTGTCCAGGTTGCCAAGGCGCTTGGGCTGTTTGTGGTGGGCATCGCTGGCCCCAAGAACCTCGACTTTGTCAAGAGCCTCGGCGCAGATGAGGTGCGCTTCCTGCCATGATTTAAGTGGAACTGGGGAAAGGGACGGCTTGAAAGCCGATCATGGTGGCACGCATTTGGCTTTCAGGGATTCCGAGCAATTCTTTGTATGTGAAAGTGGGACCCTCCTCTGGACGCGCAGGGTCATGCACATGTTGGGGCCTGGCACGTGCCCCCAATGTGGCTCTTGGACATGCGGATGCAAACCTGTCCCAAAGCAGGCAGGCTACACTCTGGCTTCTAGCCAACTGTAGCACACCACCCTCCCTAAACAAACAACATTTTTTTGGTACCAACCGACGCCCGTGACACTGCGTAGGTGGTGGACTACACCACCCAGGACGTCGCTGACCTGTACAGCGCTCCCGACAAGCAGTTTGACATCGCCATCGACTGCATGGGCACCCGCAGTGAGTGGGTTTTGGTGTTGGTGTTGGTGCTGGGTGGTGGGTGCTGGAGTGCCTGGCAGGCAGGGCTGGCAATCAATCTCAAGCTTCAACTTGAAGCTTCACATGGTGGACCATGTAAAGCTCCAGTCCTTTACCTATGTGCAGAGCACATTTCACCCGCCACTTTCCTTTGTGCTCTGCCGCCGCATGCGTAGCAATCGTGTCTCCTGCGATAGTGATAGTGAAGCCAACCCTGCAGCATGAACAGCAGCGTTGCCCTCCTATACAACCGCCACCTGCAGGCCAGCTGCTGCAGAAGCTGCTGTCCGTCACCAAGCCCACCGGCTTCTTCTCACACATCCACAATGCCGGCACCGACAACGAGGTCCTTGATGCCGCCAAGGCGGCGCACGCGGCCGGCAAGGGGCCGGCCGTGGCCGCCACGCTCGTGCAGCCCAACGGCGCGCAGCTGCAGGAGGTGGGCATAAAGCGCCGCCACGGGGGCTAAGAGGATCGGCCTCACATCGCACTTCGTGTTTAGAAGCCCTTCCCATGGCCGCCACGCGCCTGGCTGTGCGGGCGTGCCCGCCAGCGATTGGCCGCATAGTCATGGCTGCACTCAAACGAGCTGCCTTGCCGCAGCCTGCAAGCGGCGCAAGCTACACACCAGCACCCATTGTACATGACAGCAACCCCGCTCTGCGCGCAGGGCCAGCAAAGCAAACATCACTGCAATAATTGCCCATTTGCCCCTTTTTCGTTTTTTCAAAGGCGGTTCGACCCTAACCTCACCACTGCCGGCGTGCTTGTGCGGTGCCACCACCATTTGACACAGCGCCCTCAAACATGCAATCGACACCACAGATTGCTGACCTGGTTGCCGCTGGCAAGGTGAAGCTGGAGGTGGCACTCAGCCTGCCCCTGGAGGACGCCGCCAAGGCACACGATCAGGTGGGATGGGCGACGCCGTCCACACGGCCACAGCTGTTGCATGGCGTTGCTGGCTTGGCTGTGCCGCTGCGTGGCTTTGGTGCGTGATTAACAATGTGCATGCTGCTTCAACCCTTATGCGCTCACTCAATCCGTGGACAACAATGGCTGGCTTGTGTTGTACCACCCGTGTGCAGTGCCCATCGCTCTAACGCATATCTCGCGCCCCATTCAATGGCAGGTGGCCACTGGGCACACGCGCGGCAAGGTGGTCCTGACGGTCTGAGCAGTGCCGCCGTACGTCCCACTATGCTTCCTACAATGGGCATCACTGTGCCGGCACACTTCTGAGTTTTGACTGGACCATTGTCAGCACCCAGGGATGTCAAACAAAAGCACGGAACGTTCTGGGGTGACAGCTGTCACGCACAAACAGCTGAAGATGTATGCTCGTGCAATAAGGACTGTTGCAGTCACATAAACCTGGACACAAGCGTTGTTGGATTACGCATGCATGTCAATGGCACACAGCGCATTGCACTCGCTGTCCAGGAGGGGGTCACCGCCAGTCTGCTGACCAATTGTTGCACAATTGCTGTGTCAAAAGTATGTACATATGTAAAGACCATTGCAGTATTAGCGGGGTTACCCAACTTATGCAGTGTGCAGCTGCCAGCAGAGTGCGCAATAGTTAATATCGCTCTGGCGCGCAGGATGTCTCGGTCGCTTTTCAATTTGCCCCTCGCACATCGTTTGCCAGGTTGTGCTCGTGGAATGGGCCCGCAACCTGCTGTTGAAACAGCTCTGTGTATGCAAGCACTATGGTGGCAGGCTAATTTGATGCCTGCTGTTTTGGAATATAATGCCCTGATTGTTTGTGCTGCCTGCAGGGCTGCTGTCCACGGTGCATGCAACACTGACAGTCTCCCCGCGTGCTGCAAGGAAGCCTGAACGACACATTTGGTCAAGGCAGGCCGACGCGGTGCTACGGGAATTAAAAACTCGAGTTCTCCAGCGAGGAGGTCAGCCCCAGCTTCGAAAGCTGCAGGAACTTTCTCTGTAGTGCCGGCAGTGAGGATGTGGAGACGTTGCTTGTGCAACGATTGACATGCAACAACTTCCGCAGCAGCTTCTACAGCACCAGCCTGCGCGTTGGTGGGCTTGGGGGCTAATGCGTGTGTACATTGTGAGCAGAAGATGATTGCTATGCACGCCGTGATCATATCTAGCAAGCAGCGCCCGACTATCTCAGTGCACTGAATGGCTGCGCACGCATGAGGCCACTGCTCAACTGCGCCTCCAGCGCATCAGGCATGTGACAAAGCAGTTGCACAGTCTGACGCTGAAACTGCTTGTCCGGCGAGCGTAAAAAGTATGCGAATGCATTCCAGTCACTGATTCCACTACAACACCTAAGCCACCACCCGGCCACAAGTGGCCTACTCGTCGCCCTTGTGATCTCGCTGTTCACCATGCCCAAGGCCGTGCGCATACATGAGGTCGGTGGCACTGAGGTTCTGAAGCTGGAAGAGGTCGACTTGCCAACGAAGGGTGCGGCCGAGGTGCTCATCAAGACGCGCAGCATTGGCGTGGTGAGTGGGCGTGCTGCGACGCCCCAACCATCCGGAACACTGCTGCCGCATCTTTCCATCGGCAGGGGGTGTAATGCCATCGAGTGGCATGCGGCATGGTCGCCACAAAAACAGGGTTGCATGGTTTTGTCACAGACGGCATGGCTTCGCTGTTCTGAGACCCGAGCTTGACATCATGCTGATGCGCTAGGCCCAGCTCCCTCACGCATGATGGCGCCCAACCTCGGACACCAATTGCAGCGCCGTCAAGCCCAACGATAGGGCGCTGCATGCCAACACTTACCCACCACACCTCCTTTTCAACATGCCCTATGCACACCTCCTTTTTAACATGCCACATGCAACAGAACCCAGTCGATCTGATCGTCCGCAGCGGTTACTACAAGCCCGAGACCTTCCCCAAGGCGCGCGGCCCGCGAGCGCTGCAGCCCGCGAGCTGCTGCAACGCGCCGCCGGGCCTCATCCCCCTCACTCTGTGTGCCCTGCTGTGCCTTGTTTCAGCCCGACCTGATTACAGCCCATCCACACCAGACCTTCTGGCTTTGCCCTGCCGTGGCCACCCCCGGGAAGAAGCCAGCATTTGGCTGGGAAGGTGTTGAGCACGCCCGTCCCCTCTCACCCGATCGCACAATTGCAGATCCTGGGGGGCGATGTGGCGGGAGTTGTGGAGGAGGGCGACGAGGGTGGCAAGGTGGGCGCGGGTCGTTGCACATGTCTGCACATCCAGCAAACGCATCCACCTAGGGCGCGACGCTTCCATCAGCTCCAGCCACCCTTCCCTGCTCCGCCGCCATTCAGGGCGCGCGGTCATCTGCCTGTGTGCTTGCCCGTGCCCCACTCTGCAAAGCGTTTCTCACAAGCTACAGCACACATCATCCGCTGCACGCACACATGCCTCGCCGCAGTTCAAGCCGGGTGACAAGGTGTTCGCGCTGACTCCTGGGTTCTGGAACGCCAGCCCTGCAGGTATGCTGGTGGCATGAGGCGGGGGGGTGGAGCGGTCGGTGCAGGCTGGCGCTCGAGCGCACAAATACACTCAACTCACACGCATGGCAGGCCCATGCAAGTTCGCTTGCACATACACTCACACACCCTTTGCCTGCAGGCACATATGCTGAGTATGTGGTGGCTGACCCCGCCTGGCTGGCCAAGGTGCCTGACAACCTGCCCCTTGAGGAGGCGGCGGGCGTCCCGCTCGTTGCGCTGACCGGCTGGCAGGCGCTGCAGGAGGCCAGCCCCAAGGCAGGGCAGCGCGTGCTGGTGACGGCGGCGGCCGGCGGCGTGGGGCACATTACTGTGCAGGTGGGCTGCAGGGCGCGTGGCCGAGCTTGACCGGCCTGGTGGGGATGTGACAGGTGGTCGTCGTTGAGGTGAAACCAGCGCGCCCTGTACGTGGGACACCTCTGCCCAGGACCTTGACAGCCCGACTCGCCGATCGCCACAAAGCATCCTGCTTAGCCAAGGCGCGCTCGCTGCGCTCGCACACAACACGGGGCGGCTCCCTTCACCGCACCTGCCAGTTCCTCTTGTCCCCCGGCGAAAGCCTATGGCCTCCGCCACTGTTTGACACCTCCTCTGGTGGCCGCTTTTCTAAGCCAAAACGACCTTGAATCCTGCCGCGCTTGCAGGTCGCCAAGGCCCTGGGCCTGTTTGTGGTGGGCCTCGCTGGCCCCAAGAACATCGAGTATGTGAAGAGCCTCGGCGCGGACGAGGTGGGCGGGGTACGGCAGACGGATGTGCACGCTGGCACATCCGCGGTTGGCAGCTGCCGTATGGCAGCTGCCGTATGGTTTGCAGCACCTCGATTGTTGGTAGGACGACTCTGCAACTTTTGGGTGGAAACGCCGTGCACTTTTGCAACTGACAGGGAGATCGCATGCCTGTATGCTGCATCGCCACGCGCCTGGCGCCACCGTTGCTTGCTTATCATCGTATAACCAACTGTATCTCTACTTGCCCCAGGTGGTTGACTACACCACCCAGGATGTTGCTGAGCTATACAGCGCTCCTGACAAGCAGTTTGACATTGCCATCGACACCGTGGGCACGCGCAGTGAGTGGTCTCACGGCACTGCACTGCGGCTGATTCCGACCCTCTCCTTCTGATGGGAGGGAGTGTGCCCATTTCCTTAGAAATTTACACTGCGCTTACCCCGTTGATTTCCTCAACAAAAATCAGCATCTCCCCGCATCACAAGCCCCAAGTTCATGTGCCCTTGCACCATTGCACCACGCTCTGCTGTCCATTGCACAATGCCCGTTGCTGATTACCCACACTGCACCCACTGGCACCCTTGCAAGCCGACGGGCTTCCGAGAAGCCAACACCGACACTCACCGCTGCCCGGCCACCAACCACGCAGGCGAGCTGCTGCAGAAGCTGCTGTCCGTCACCAAGCCCACCGGCCACTACTCTCACATCCTCAACGCCGGCACTGACAATGACGCACTTGGTGCAGCCAAGGAGGCGCATGCGGCCGGCAAGGGGCCGGCCGTGAGCACCACGCTGGTCAAGCCAAACGGCGCGCAGCTGCAGGAGGTGAGCATGTGTGGGTTTGGTCGTCGGGCCGCACTCCACTTTGACGATCCAGGGTCGCGGCGTGGGCGCTTTTGAAAGGGACACAGTGTCATCAAGGTGCTCTGCTGTTTGGCGAACGGGGCTACAGGCAACAACGCGTCCCTCGCCAAGTTGTGCTGACACGTGCATGCGTGTTGCTGTGCAACCCGCAACCTTTCTGCACAACCCGCAGATTGCTGACCTGATTGCTGCCGGCAAGGTGAAGCTGGAGGTGGCCCTCAGCCTGCCCCTGGAGGAGGCTGCCAAGGCGCACGACCAGGTGGGATGGGGGAGAGAGGTGGAGAGAGATGAGAGGTGGGACAGCGTCGCCATGTTGCTGGCAAGCAGGCTGGGAGCCTGGGTGCGCACACGTGCCGCGTTGCGTCGCAGCTGAGCTGCTGTGTGCACTCGGCGCATGATTAGCGCGTGGCTTGCCAAATGCGCGACCACGGTGCTTATGCATACGACTGTAGACAGCTGTTTGACGCCTCCCAAACCTCTTGACACGCCATTGACCCCGCAGGTTGCGACGGGGCACACGCGCGGCAAGGTGGTCCTGACTGTGTGATGGTGCATGACGGTGTGACGGTGCATGCTGTTGTTTGACCAGCAAGGTCCTTGCTACAATTGTCCAGACAGCCTGCACATTGCTGGCGTTGGGAGCCGGGCGGCGCCGAGACATGTGCCTCACGCACTGCTTGCATTTTCGGATGGTGGTCTGCACCGCATCGCATGACCACATGCGCACATCTCATTATTTGTTTGGGCGATAGTTGCATGTTTCGTTGTGGTGTGTTGGTGGCGGCTGCAAGACGTTGCGAAGCTCGGATGGCCTCCCATCTTAGCTGGACTGGCACTGTGATTGCAGCACACGTGTTTGTAAGGTTGAAACAACAGGAGTAACAGCATGTCAGGAGGGTGGGACACCAGGGCCACTGCCATTTTCTGCTTCAAATGTCAGCCGCAGGGGGCGGCACATACTTGAGTGCTCTATAAGTTTGGTCTGCCGGCTGGTGTGGCCGCAAACATGAAGGCGTCTATCTGCTATTTTGCCAATCCATGTCTATCACTCCAGATCTGTTTTTATTGCTCAACCAATACCATGACTCATGGCTGCAAAAACGCCAGCCAAGTATTCCAAGATTTTTGGAAGCTGCGCTGCCGGCCAAGTAGATGGGCTAGGGAAAGCACAGCTATCACATCAAGAGGCGTGCACCTTTCAGACCAGCGATTTTCCATTGGGGAGCCCTGCCTTGGGCTCCTAACAACGTGCCAGCCCCCATGCTGCCGCCGGCTGCCGTGCCCGGCGGCGCCCCCCCCCCCCCTTCCGCCTTCCTGATGTTAGTATTGAAACCGCTCGTTTTGGCGGCAGTATCACAAAAGGCATGATGTAAGCCAGAAATTTGCGGTGCACGTTGTCGAACTTCAGCTGCCCGCTGATCATGTGCACACAACAAATGCATTGCAATTGTGGGATCCAGCGACCCCTCCTATCATTGTCACATGAACGCTGCCGCACTGGATTCAGAATTTCAGGATGCAGTTTGACCTGTGGTGCATCCGTACATGTACGGATATGTGTGTGTTTGCAAGTGGTGCGGTTATGTCAGCTGGTGTTTGACTCCTCTGCCGCACCACCAGCTGCTGCACCATTCGCTGCTGTGCAGGCAGTTCCCCTCAAAACACGATGTGTGTGTGTGCATTCAGCGTTTGTGTGCTAACTTGCTCGGAAACTGTGGCGGAATAGCAGTGGTATGAAATGCTGAGACTGTGTTGTCTTGCCTTAGACAGTCAGGTTTGGCAGCAAAGGGTTGCTCCTACCAAAACACAATATATTATCATAGGGGCTTCATCTTACGCCCCTGGGCTGCACCTCCACCTGAAATGGGATGCGGAGGGCAGGGACGCCCGCCCTGCCAGAGCTCTTCAGACTGTGTGAAATCTTGATGATGCACGCGTGCGTCATCGCGCGGGCACTGGTGATCATGGCTGTTCCGGCTCTGTTCATGTATATAAACGGTGTAATTAGGAGCGAGGATCTAGAAGCCAAGCGAAAGCCGCGATAGCACCCTCTCGAGCGCACAATCTCACTCGACAGCATGCCCCAGGCCGTCCGCATACATGAGGTGGGAGGCACCGAAGTTTTGAAGTTGGAAGAATTTGACTTGCCAACGAAGGATGCAGCCGACGTGCTCATCAAGACGCGCAGCATCGGCGTGGTGAGTGGCGGGGTGTACTGCGACGACCCCCTGATCCTCCGACAAACTGGCGCTGCTCGTTTGCTTCGGCCGCGGGTTTAATGCCCATTGTGTGGCCTGCGGCATGGCAGCCACTAAATTTTGAATGGTCTCCCTACGAATGGCTTGGCTGCACAGTCCTGAGACTCGAGGTCGCCATCATGCTGAGGTTCGACGCCTAGCTCCCGCCCGCATGATGGCGCCCAACCGCGGAAACCCACTGCAGCGCGGTCACGCCCAATAACGGAAAGTTGCATGCCAAAACGTATCAGCTGCATCCGCTTTTTCAAATCGCCACCTGCAACAGAACCCAGTCGACCTGATGGTGCGCAGTGGTCACTACAAGCCAGAGTCCTTTCCCAAGGTGCGGGCGTGCAACCGCGGGCGGCAACAACACACTGCTGTGCCTCCCCCCCCCTCCCTGTGCTCCCCTCTCCCCCAGCTTGCCTTGTCCCGGCCCAAACTGCACCAGCAGCCCCCGCTCCATCCCCCCCCTCCCGCTTGCTTTCTGCCTGCTCTGGCTGTACCCCTGCAGCCGCCGGATGGTTGGTATATTCGTCGAGCTTGCCCGTCCTTCCTCGCCCTCTCGCACAAACGCAGATCCTGGGCGGCGACGTGGCGGGAGTTGTGGAGGAGGGCGACGAGGGCGGCAAGGTGGGCACGGGGCATGGCGTGTGCGCTGTCCCACATGCTGTCCCACACGCTTGCACATCCACTTAGGGCACTGAGCTGACTTTGTTTATCACGGCCGGCCACCCTTCCCTGCTCCCCTGCCACGCGCCGCCCCTGGTCATTTTCCGGTGTGCAGTACTCGGCCACCCCCACCTCTGCAATGCGTTCCTCACAAGCAGTAGCAAGCAACACTTGCTGCACACGCAATCCACACACGCTGCAGTTCAAGCCAGGTGACAAGGTGTTTGCACTCCACCCTGGGTACTTCAACGCCACCCCTGCGGGTGGGTGGCTTGAGGCGGGGGTTGTTGGCGAAAACAATTCAGGGGGTCACGCACGCTTGCAGGCTTGAGCACCCAGACACACACACAAGCACACGCACGCCCTGCTCCGTCTTTGAAAACGCAAACGCGCAAATCTATTCACTCACACCCCCTTTTGTTGCAGGCACATATGCTGAATACGTTGTAGCAGAGGCCGACTGGCTGGCGAAGGTGCCCGACAACCTGCCACTGGAGAAGGCGGCGGGCGTCCCGCTCGTTGCGCTGACTGGCTGGCAGGCTCTACAGCAGGCCAACCCCAAGGCGGGGCAGCGTGTGCTGGTGACGGCGGCTGCCGGCGGCGTGGGGCACATCACGGTGCAGGTGGGTTGCGCATCAGGCGGTCGAGCTTGGCTGGCGTGGCGGGGATGCGATGTGTGCAAGTCGCCACAAATCGGTTGAAAAGCAGCTCACCCTGTGGGAGACCTCTGCCTGGGGCCTTTGGGGCCGATTTTGCCGGCGGCTACGTACCAATCAACCCGCGCTTCCAAGGCCGCTGCAAGCACCCACCAAGCGTGATGACTCCCTCAGCCGCATCAGCCAGAAACTCCAGGCTTTTGACACACACTTATGATCTGAAATGGACCTTCGATTTGACTCCCTTGCAGCTGGCTAAGGTTCTGGGGCTGTTTGTGGTGGGTATCGCCGGCCCCAACAACATCGACTTTGTCAAGAGCCTGGGCGCAGATGAGGTGGGCAGGGCAAGCCGGACAGGTGTTCACGATGTCGGATGGATTGCAGCACATCGCTTGGGCCCATGGGTCACGCGACACTGCGACTGGTGGATGAGGCTAGCGTCAGAATGTTGTGCATCTTCGAAAGTGCTCACATGCGTATGGCAGGCTGCGTTGCCATGCTCTTCGCGTCGCCACCATCTGCCGGCCACTGTGTAACCAACCACACCCTACTGCTGCTGCGCCAGGTGGTCGACTACACCACCCAGGATATTGCTGATCTATACAGCGCTCCTGACAAGCAGTTTGACATCGCCATCGACACCATGGGCACACGCAGTGAGTGGCCTCACGGCACTGCACTGGGGCTGATTCCCACTTCTCGCTCTCATTGGAACAAATTGCCCCCATTGCCTGGGAACATCACTATGCGCACACGCCGCTGATTGCCCCCACTAACGTGCTTGCATCACAGCCCATCAGCAGAACCAATCTGCAACTCCCTCGCACCACTCTCTCATGTCAGCCGCGCCGTTTCCCTGATTTGACACTCTCACCGCCCACCAGGACCGTTGGCTTCCGCTCCCACAACCCCACTCCACTCCTGCCCTGCCACCAACCATGCAGGCGAGCTGCTGCAAAAGTTGCTCTCTGTCACCAAGCCCACCGGCCACTACTCCCACATCCTAAACGGCGGCACTGACAACGTCGCACTCGATGCGGCTAAGGCGGCGCACAAGGCCAGCAAGGGGCCGGCCGTTGGCAATACTCTGGTGCAGCCAAACGGTGCACAGCTGCAGGAGGTGCGCGTTTGTGGGTCTGGTCTCACCAGGGCTGACGTCATTTCTGCACGCACCGCGTTGTCGATCCAGGGCCCCGGTGCTTGTGTTGCTGACAGGGACGACACGAAGCTTGCAAGGTGCTCTGCTGCCTTGCCCACGGGGCCAGTGGAAGTGATGATAGCCCGTAGTTCAAGGCCAAGGCATGCTTGCGTACCTCTGTCCAAACCTCAATCCACATGGCACAAACCGCAGATTGCCAACCTGATTGCTGCTGGTAAGGTGAAGCTGGAAGTGGCCCTCAGCCTGCCACTGGCGGAGGTTGCCGAGGCGCACGACCAGGTGCGATGGGCACATCTGCTGCATGGCGATGCGACCGGGCTCCTCAGGGAGCAGGTGCATGGTCAGTGTCCTGTTTGCTGTACGGCCAAACACAGCGGCCAACTTGACGACTCATGCCTAAGTGTTGACAGCCACAGCTGTGTGACGTCTCCCCAACCCCTCGACATGCACAGGTTGCGACCGGGCACACGCGCGGCAAGGTGGTCCTGACGGTGTGACACCGTGGCTGCTGTTTACACTTTAGGGTTTAGGGCTCCAAATCCAGGGTTCAGGGTTCAGGGCTTAGGGTGAATCAACCCCAACTCGACGTGCATGTTGGTGTCGTTTGCGGCTGTCGTATCATGTACAGCCCGCGCGTTGTGGTGGCAATCAGTGTTGTGAGCCGCAAGCTGAGCTGTCACACTTGTATCTGCGTGCCAGGCTTTCATGCGCCATAGCTTAACAGCGAGGGGCGCGCTCAGCAGGCTGCACTCGCCCAGGCAGCCTGCACATCGCTGATGTTGGCAGCTGTACATCGCCGCGGCACGCGCCTCTTGCACCTGCTTGTATTTTTGGCTGGTGGTCTGCGCCGCATTGCGTGACCACGTGCGCACCTGCTCATTACTCATCGTATTTCATGTTTGGTTGAGGTGAGTTGGTGTCGCTTTAAGACCTTGCGCAGCTTTGGAGCTCAAACATCTGGGCTGGGCTGGCACTGCAATCGCAGCAATAACGTTGATGAGGTTGTGACTGCCTCGCAGGGGTTACAGCACGTGGAGAGGGTTGAACACATGTGGTCTTGTAATTATCTGCTTCTAGACATCAGCTACTAAGGGGCAGTACATCCTCAAATGGCGCTCTAGTAGATTGTATTGTGTGACCGCCCACACGCGTGCTTGATGTGTCGCCAACTCCTGTGTATTGCTACAGAGCCCTCCGTGTTGACTGCCAGCACGCCAGCCCACTGATCCCAAAGTTGTTTACAAGCTGTGGCCCAAAGGGGATGGTGGGAGTGCTCAGCGACAGCACAATCAGGCAATTGCCCTTCAGACCAGCAATCTCAGGCTGAGAGCTCTAGAACCTTGGGGCTGCCAACGGCGTGCCGAACCCCGCGCCGCCGCCAGCTGCCGTTCCCGGTGTCGGCCCCACAGGCGTCCCAAACGCGCCCGCGCCCCTGCCCGCCGGCGTCGCCCCGCCGCCGTCGCCCGCCTGCCGCTGCTGCTGCCCCGCCGCAGGGGCGGGGGCCCCCGCCGCCGCCTTGGGGGCGGCGGCCTCCACGCTGGCCACGTAGTAATCCGAGGGGCGGTTTATGCCCGTGTCGTGCGGCACCCCACTAATTCCCTCGAAGGCCAGGGCGCAGGCCAGCTGGTAGTGCTTGCCGCGCGCCTTGGTCGCCGCGTCGGCCGCGAGCCTGGCCGGGGGCAGGGAAGGACGGCGGCCAAAGTCAGCGAGCGTGATGGCGGCGTGAAGCTCGGTGCGAAACAATTTGGGTCGTGCAAATCGCCAGCTTGCCTCCAACGAATAATCCAGGGTCGGCGCTGCATGCTCTCAGCTGCTGACCGCGCCCCTGGCAGGACCCTAGCAAAGCGCGCGCGCCCTGTCGCCTGCCCCTCAACCCCAGGACCGCCCAAACAGCAGCCCCGCCCCGCCAAAGCAAACCCCTGACCCCTGACCGCCTTTCCACCGCACACCACCGCCAGGCCCGGCCCGGCGCGGCCCCCGCACCTGTCGCTGCAGCCGAGCTTCCCCAGCAGCAGCCGCAGCTTGGGCTCGTCCAGCAGCTTGAAGGGGCAGCCGCCGTTGCACTCGCCCGCGTTGGAGCAGGGCCCGACCTCGCGCTGGATGATGCGCACGCAGCTCCACTCACCCCAGTCCGCGCGCTTGCCCTCCTGCGCTCGCGCATGTTTGTGAGCGCCCAACACGTTCAATAGACACCACGGAGCCGGCGGCGGATGGCCGGCGTCCCCTACCGTTCGATGCACCCGCCCCTGGTTGCGGTTCCTGGGACGCGGAAGACCACTGTTGCAATCCAACCCCTGCCTGCAAATATGCCGCCCGTGCTGCGCCCCCACTGACATGCTGTCTCACCGCGCAGCTGGCCCCTTTACCCTGCTCCAGCCCGTCGGGCGCCTCCTGGACCCTACTTTGCCCCACTTCACATGCATGCATAACCATCACAGTTTCCCACATGCCCCGCACACGCCCGCACCTGTGCGTAGTTGTATCTGATGTTGTACGCGTACTCCCGATTGAACTTGTCGGCGGGGGTCCTGCACACGGCAACGCACGTGCAGCGCGCAAGGAGGGACGCCAGCTCGTCAGGCAACTGGCAGACAGAGGGGCGGGGCGAGGCGGCGCGCGGCGGGACTCGGCCCCGCGACCCCAGGCGCGGATGATCTGGCGCGAGAGCGGAGAGCGCCTGGGACGGCCCGCCGCCATCGAGCAGGGGCTCCCTGAGCCGGTGTGGGTGGGCCCCACGCACCACACCGTCTCCCTCCTCTCGATCCCCCCACGCTCGCAGCCTGCCACCTGAAGCGCACCTCTTGACCTCCAGCACCCTCGCCCTTGCACCCAGGAACCCTGCAACCCAAGACGCCACAGCCCACACCCGAGGCCCCGTGCTCACCAGCCCCACCCGACTTTACCCCAGGCACGACCGCGACGGTGAGGACCCCCACCACAGGTCAGACACAACACAGCAACAGCCCCCCAAACCCAACGCAAGTACAGGGTGAGAATTCCCGGCCCCACCTTGGCGAGAACATTGACCGCCAGAACAGCACCGCCTGCTCCAATGGCAGCCCGATGTGCTTCAGGAACAGGCTCATCTGCTGCAGGCCGTAGTGCTTCAGGTGGTGCTCAGAGGCCAGCCGCTCGTACATGAGGGACATGCAGGGCGGCAGGTGGCGCTCCGCCGCGATCTGGTGGACCTGGGCGGCGGTGATCTCGCCGCCGCCGGGAAGCTTCTTCCCCTCGCTGCTGCTGAGGCTCCTGCGGGGCGCGGGCGGACGGGGATTGAGTTTAGCAGGGTTGTCTTGTGGGGCGCTTGAAACGAACTAGAATTGTGGGAAGCATCAGGTGCGGCGCAAGGTGACGTGGGGGCGACACACTGCCTGCCAAGACTGTGAGAGAGGCGCGAGCGCCGTGGAAGCGGGCCCCAGTGTACATGCAGCCTGCAGGCGCACAAAGTGTGCAAAGCACGGGCCTCAGGTGACATGCGCCGGTGACACGCCCGACCTTGTCGGCATCGCCTCGACCAGCGGCGCCAGGCGCCCGGCCTCTGTCGCCGCAAACACGCCCCAGCGCTGCGCCAGCTCAGCGAGCGCCGCACTGAGGTGCGCCCGGAAGGCGCCCAGCACCAATGAGTAGACCTTTGAGAGGGCGCGGGCGGGGGCACGTGTGGGACGGTGGGGGTTGGGTCATTGTAGGGGGCGCAATGGGGGCGCAGCAAATTGGCAAAGATTGGCCCATTTGGCGCTGCTGCCGCCGCACGTTGCGTGGCTGACAACAAAGCAACAGCCAGCAGCAGCGCGTTGGTCCCAGTCTTGCGCGGCTTGCGGCCACCGCCGCGAAGTTGGCTGAAGCACGGGCGCCGACGGGGATCATCCGCAGCAGCCGCCGCCCAGCAATGGGCCCGCCCCGTCCCGACTGAGCCCAGCTCGCGCCAGCCGAGCATGCCAGCAACATTAGGGTTCGAGTGCCCCCCCACCTGCTCCTGCGCCACATAGGCCACCCCGCCGCGCAGCAGCACCCTGCGGGACGCGACCAGGTCTGGCACCGCCATGAAGGGCACCTGGCCCGGGGTTGAGTTGAGTGGCGTGCGCGTTTTGAACGTGGGTTGATTTGCAGGGACGGCGCTCAACGGCAAGAGCGCCGCGCGGCTGCTGCATGCTGCACCAGGGGGGTCTGACTCCACGAAATCAGGCAAGGGGGGTGCAAGCAGCCCGCGCAAATCAGTATCCTCGTGCTCGAGACGCCCCCCACGCCCCACGAGAGCCGGCAGACGAGCAGCCCCTTTGCTTGCTCCCCATACGCCTCCTGGCTGGCCGCACCTTGAAGAAGAGGGTGCGCTCGCCCTGGGTGATGGCGTCGCGCGCCGTCATGTCGCCCATGCTCGCCGCCACCTTGATAACAGGAGACGGGTAGGTGGCGACGATGAAGGCAGTGGGATGGGGGAAGCTACGGCAACTCGCGTTGCAGTACCAAGGCACCCCGGCGGGGTGCCTTGGTCGTCGACGCAGTTTGCGCTGTGAGCATGCGTGCTCAGCTCTCGCGAGCGCCGGGAGGTGCCACACAACCTCCACGTTGCGCCGCAGGTGCACGGGCCTCGTGCAGTGTGGGGCGCGCGGGCGGCCCCGTAGCCCTGTGCCAGCAGGCCTGGTGGCTGCTGCTCCCACCTGCGCCAGCTGGTCCTTAAGCTCTTCAAACTCCTCAGGGTCTATGGCCTGGTAGGGCAGACCCTGTGTGTGTGTGTGTGTGTGTGTGTGTGTGTGTCTGTGTGCGCGCGCGTGTGTGTGTGTGTGTGTGTGTGTGTGTTGGAGCGGGCGCGGAGGAGCGCGGGCACAGAGCAGCCGTTTTGAGGGCGACGTTGCTGCCGCTTCTGAGCAAGCTGGCAGGGCGCAACGAGCGAGGGCCGCCGCTGTGCATGAGCCAAGCTCGCACGCGCTGCTCGCGCGGG